TCGGATTATGAATTATTAAGTTTTGTTCAGATTTACCCATTGAGAAGATCAATAAATGCATTGGTGATCCTGAGGCTGATACCGAGAACCAAGTACTAAGAACCGAGCAAGTAGTTCAGGTTGGTTTTACGCCTTTTCCTAATTGGGTTGTTTCATCAGGTCTGGTAACTAATTGTAATGTGTGTAACTTCAAAGATTGGCCAAGGAGAGCGAGGTGATGTTACGATATTGCCAACATTAGTCATCAATAATGCACAATATCGAGGTTTTGGTTTGCTTCTTTAATTATTCATATCTCCCAAACTTTTCAGAAAGATGCTGAAATTTCTGTTATTGATTGTGATTTTAAAGGGAGATTGGAGAGAACCGCTGTTCTAAAGGCGATATGCGCTGGATTCAACGAAACATCGGATCCTCCCATTTGCTTAAACACAGGTCTAGAGACCAACGAGTGTCTTGAAAACAATGGTGGTTGCTGGCAGGACACAAAAGCAAACATGACTGCTTGTAAAGTATGTCATAAAACCGATCACATCTCACCGCTATAGTTAATATTTGTATCAATTTGATTGGAAATGTTTTGAAAACTAGAGGAAATGTGGAGTCTAGTGAGACCTTGTCTAAGATACATTTCTCTTTTGATCAGGACACATTCAGAGGAAGAACTTGCGAGTGTCCGGTTGTAAAAGGCGTTCAATATAAAGGCGACGGATACAATTCATGTACACGTAAGTTCGTTCACACTTCACACAACCTTTCAAATTTTGAAACCGGTTTCTCGATTTTTCATTGAATGTATCATTTGTGATTGAGTTTTGCAGCTTATGGACCTGCGAGATGTACTATTAACAATGGAGGTTGCTGGTCTGATACAAGAGATGGCTTAACTTTCTCTGCTTGCTCAGTTTAGTGATTCTCTTATCATAAAACCAAATCCTTCCCTTTCAAAGTTCTTGTTTCAATTGAATAATACATCTCTTTTGTTATTTATTTACAAACTACTTATGAAACAATCAGGACTCTGTGTCTACTGGCTGCAAATGTCCTGAAGGTTTCCACGGTGACGGTCACACCTGTGAAGGTAATAATACTTATCAAGAATCATGTCCTAACTCTTTAACTTATCGATTTTAATCTCGAAAAAACAGAACCATTCGCCAATTATTTACTCATGATTTGGCTCTATTGCAGATATCAATGAATGTAAAGAGGGTACGGTGTGTCAATGTAGCGGTTGCAGATGCAAGAACTCATGGGGAGGATACAAATGTAGTTGTTCCGGTGATCGGCTTTACATAAACGATCAAGATAGTTGTATAGGTAAAAAAAATTATCAATCAAGACTCAGATTTTATAACTTCATAACAATGATACTAATTTACATTTGTTTTAAAACACAATTGCAGAGAGATATGGATCTAAAACAGCATGGTGGCTCACAGTCTTGATACTAGCTATCGTCACAGTAGCCGGTTTAGCTGGTTATCTATTCTACAAATACCGGTTCAGGGTACTCGTCTTGATTCAACAAAACCATTCCTGAATCCAACGGTTTTACAAGATTTTATATACCAACTAACTTGTTTTTTTTTTTCGTGGTTTTTCGCACACAGTCTTACATGGATTCAGAGATTATGACGATCATGTCTCAGTATATGCCACTTGAGAGTCAAAGAGCTCGTGAAGTTCCATCAGAAGCTGAGCCTTTCACACAACACACTACAGTCTAATTATGTGACCAAAGGAACCAAGCATGTCTTGTATATTTCAGGAACACAATATCATATAGTTTCCTTGGACAAAGAAATGTTTGAGATCATTTTATGTATATATATGATTTACCTTCTAAAATTAATAAAAAAAAAGAGAGAGTGACATATAGAGAGATAGAGTTATGAAAATAATGAATTACAACATTTGTATTGACAAATTTGGGTGTAAAGAAAACTTTCCAAGAGGTTGGGGGGTTTTTCTGTAACCAATCAAAATAATAGTCTTTTCATATAAAAACGAAAAGTTGAGGGATCTGAGAAGTAAAAAAGGAAAAAACGATATAAAATTTGCTTTCATTGAGAGTTGAACTCAAGACCTCCCGCTTACTAAACGGGTGCTCTAACCAACTGAGCTATGAAAGCTTCCTTACTGCTAATAATTTAACAAATATTATATATCTAAA